GTGGTAGGAGGCGGTCGTGGAGCCCTAGTGGTAGGAGGCTGTGGTGGAATTGTTGATCGTGTCTGTTCACATGGCTGTGGTAATTTACTTGATGGAGGACGACGTGTTATACACGTCAACCAAGAAGACGGCGTACGCTCAGGTAATTTAGTTGGCAGAGGACGTGATGGTGTTGATGTCACCCGAGGAGGCAGCGTAGGGCGTAGTGGAGGGGCAGCCTTTGTTGGAGTTACGGGTTTGGTCGTTGGTGAACAAGGTTGTGGTGAGTTATTTACGACACACGGTTCTTGTGGGATAATAATTACACCTATGGGTTGGACTGATTCTATTTTTTCAGAGTCATTGTGGCTAGGATTGCTATGTGTGATGCTGGGCGACAAGGATTTACGATGAGAAAAAAACGGTAAGTTGGGCTTTTTATATGAATGACCTCCATATTCTTGTGGCTTCGATACACCTGAAAGTAAGTAATTATTATTGCACAATAAATACTATTTCAATATAGTACTTAAGTATTGCCATAACAACATAATGATTAGGAGGATTTAACTTGCAATTATTTGACAAGAAAAAACCATCTTCACCGATATGGTTTTTAAATTTTCTATGCCGTTCTTTATTGTAATATACACATATTTTGCAACAATACTATAGTTTCCCATATAACTGAAATTATGGTGTTATTAAACGTTATTAATAAAATATTGATTACGTACCAACTGCCGCTAGAACCACTAGCACTAGTAATAGCTTTCCTCGCGACATGATTACCTGAGTGTTGCAATGAACACTGCAAGTTCAACTGTATTTTTTTCTGAAAACCTCTTTCTTTTTATACAAATTTGATTTAATAGACATAAACAGTTATCGCCTTTGATATTAAAAATCATTAATTACGCTTTAATGTTAGAAAATTATTTAATGTTTACATTATTTTAAAGATAATTTATAACGGAATATTATTAAATAGAAAAACAATTATATAACTATTACAACTCAATATAGTCTATACAGTTACATTGTCATACTAAACTAAATGCAGATTTCGCGAAAATGATGTATTTGCGTTGTTGCTAACCAAAATCGTATTTAAAAACTATTCGTGCCTGTCCGCAAGCCGCGTTTGTTCCGGGTAATCTCCGAAACTCTTTTGACAGGACACACTGGAGGGTAGCTGACATGGACGGGCATAAAATAGGCTACTTTTTTTAAAATTTCCGATACCGATTTGACGGGACTTCCATAAGATACTGAGCTGAGCTGATACACTGGCGCATATTTTAAACAACCATTTCTACACCAGTAAGCTTATAACTTATTTTTTCTTTTTTCGAATTCGTAAAGGTTAAAGACATTATTTCTGATATATGTATAACCATAGATTCAGGCATAAGTTTTGAAGCTAAAGTTAGATAACACTTCTTTCTAAATACTAATCTAATGCAAAACTCAATACGAAGATTAGTACGAAAATCGCAATTTCGAAGCTTTTAGTCAAATTGTTGCCTCCGTTGACGAGTTTTAGAGAAAAAGTAGTGCTCAGTTTTAATCTTTAATACTCTTAAAACTTTCATGTGTAATTTAATGCTTTGTCATAATATCTATATTTATAATATTACAATAAAGCGTAAACACACACTTCTTTGTTGCCTAAGACGTTAGTAATTACAGCATATTTTTGAATAGTATTTTTGTAATAAAAAGCCCTACACTTATACGTCACGCTTTATGGAATAAAACTTTTATATATAATCTAAACTAATATTATAAAGATCAAAGATGTGTATTTTTGGATTACTGTATGTATTGGATTGGAATAACTCAAAATCACTGGGTCGATTCAAAAATACTTTCACGATTAAAAAGCTACGTTATCAGTGTGTAACCTTGTACTATTATTTTTAATTACACAGGGACGAAGTCGTAAGCAACAGTTTGTATTAAATATGATAAAAAATACATTTAGAAGTTATAGGTTCATTTTGAGCCCAATTATTTCCGGTAAGTACATCATACTAAGTTTTGATGGATGGATGGATGGACGTATGGATGTTTGTTAGAGTTTGTAGCCTAAACTGCTGAACAGATCTTAATGAAATTTGGCATACATGTAGGGAATAATCTGAAGGAACTTATAGGCTACTGGGTTTTGGTTTTTTTTAATGCCACGCGGACAGAGTCACGGGTAAAAGCTAGTAGCTCATATATGATTCTAAATTATATTTTAAACCGCAAAAGAATATTTTAATGAGTTCATCAAGTAACAGCATTCCTCATTATGACGTTGGACCGCAGTAAGTACTTAATGGTAAATTGGCATGTTATTTTATAGGAGCGCCATTAGGTCAGTGGTTAAGTGGTCTTGTAAGTCCTGAGTACGATCCCCGCACTATACTAAAGTATCTTTTCGAATTTAGAATGTACACTTACCCTGTGCTTAAAAGACATCCCTCATTATCAGTATCATCATCATCATTATCATCATCATCATCATCATCATCATCATCATCATCATCATCATCATCATCATCACTCATCAACATCCATCAGACAGCCATTTTTTTAAAGAATAAGGGGGCAAATAAAAGACTTATCGCAAAATTATTTTCAGTTTCATACATTTTTCGATTAGCTATAGTTGCTTTGTCAGTCTTTTGATATCTTCTAAACTATTGATCAGAGTATATCGTGGAATGCAATTATAATATAGATTATTTTCCCTTTCCTTTTCTACACTTTTCTTATAAGGAAAGGATGGATAGAGCAAATGGATGTGATGGTCGAGGAGACGTATAGGAAGGGGAATTGTCCTCGTTATGTGTGTCTCATCCTCCGTCAATTAAGACTAGGCAACGCGTCTGCTTGCGAATGTCTATGGGCAGCAGTCGCTTCACCATTTTGGCAAATTCAAGTGGCTACTTGTTTTTTGCCGCATTGTAATATGAAAAAAAGGTTACTTATTCTAACCTAAAAATAAATATATTTGAACTAGTATTACGAATAAGAGTAATTGCATTCTAGTTAATGTCTCTAACGAAATAGTTATTGTGAGCGAATAATAAAAGTCAAACTTTTTTTTGCGAACATTTATTTAGCAAATTTAAAAAGCTACAATTATTTATACATTACTAACTAGTTTGATGTAAGTCTTAATTTCATTGCATTAAATTCTCTTGATACATTTATTTGGATAAGAATTCACACGTACAAGTGGAGTATTTTAAACGATGCTTCTAAAGAAAATATGGGTGATTGTGCGACTATCTTTAAAAATAGAGAAATGCCATCGCGGGATTTAATTAAGAATATATTAAATATTTCTTAGACATCATTTTGATGTTGTTTTATCACCCGTCATGAATGTAAAGTCGAAACTACGTGCGAGTTTTTAACTAAAAATATGGGAGCCTTTCGAACTAAGAATCATCATCAACAAGCATTAATAACCTCATTATTTTGGGAAGTCGATTAAAAAGATATTGTATATTTGTGATTACATTTATTTCATTTTTAAATCACTCGGGTAATATCAGTAGTAACCAGAAACCATAATGGAACTGATACAGATAGATAGTCCATACTAGTATTATACGAGCAATTGAATGTGAAGTGGAGGTAAGGCGTGAGTGATAAACAACAAACTAAAATTATAAACATCTTAAGCTTATTATAGTTAACTAGCTTTCGCCCGCCACTCCGTTCGAGTGGGATTGAAAGAAAAACAAAACTGAATAGCCTATATGTTCTTCCAGACTATCCTCTACATTTAGATGTAGAGGATAGTCTGCCAATTTTCGTTTGCAGTGCCTATAATGCCAAATTTCGTTTAGGCCACAAACTATAACAAACATCCATCCAGCTAAAGTTTCACATTTATAATATTAGTAAATATGTTTATGTGTAATTCATTACCTTCTCAAAAAAATTGTTATTAATTTTTTGGTTTTTATCGACATAAAAGAGACTTCAACATTCAAATAGGAAAGAAGACAAGGCGAAAAGTGCTGAGCCTTATTGCTATAGAAAAAGAACTCGTAATGGGATTAATTTTCTTGAATTAAAACGCTAAAACAGTAGACCTCACCAGAGGGAAGCTACAGAAACTAGATCGATTACAGCCTAACAAATCGAAGTACATGATTATCAAATATTAATACGATTATACAATTTTAATGTAGATGGACAGGACACACTATATGCGGCTCCGGCAAATAGAGTAAAGTAATCAACTTCTGGTATTCTAAAAGTGGCAAAAGGTAGCGTGGAAGACCAATTAAAAGGTGGGTAGACGAAATTAAGGCACTTGTCGGACAACTTGGACCAAAACGGTAGCAGTAAGAGAGGAATGAAGGAAGTTGGAAGAGGCTTATGGCAGTAATGGAGAAACAGATAATAATAAGAAATAAAAACATGATATTTAATACTAATAATATATTTGTGAAATGCAATTATCTGAATAAATAAATAATAATTATAATTATTAACTTTGGAAAATTTCTAATAATTGTTATTACAGGTGTGTGGTACGGCACGACGTAGCTCGCATTGGAAGTCGGTTCTGACGAGATCAGAGTTGACGCAGCGGTTGACGGAGGTGTCGAACTTGAAGCCAAGGTCACAGCTCACCAGGCGAGGGTTGCCTCTGTGACAAGCGATGAACGAGTAGCACTTGCCCGGCAGCCTGTAAGTAACATGTTGTTGAAAATCTTGCTCGAAGGACTAAAAAAATCCCCGATATGAGGGGTCATTCGATTCGTCTTTTTCTTGGAGTGAAAATGATAAAATTTACGTCGGTACAAAACACTTATTGGTACCCGTGAGAGTTAAAATAAAATAGTGAGTAAGTTTTTTTAGAGAAGATAAGGTAAAATGTTGTAAGGAGTATGTTAAGTACTTACGGGAAGTTTTCAGTGATGTCGCATCCGTTCTCATCGACGGATCCGGGCGGGCAAGAGAAGCCGACGAAAGCTGAGAAAAAAAAAAGAAATAAGACAATGCTTTAAATAAAAACATTCAACTCAATTCAGTAGCTTTATCAGTTAGTATTTAGATTAAATATCAAATGTTTTTCTGTACGTAAATTTGTTGTAAGAATTTATCTTTGTCAACTTCTGTGTCGAAATACTACTGTACTATGGCTACACGTTGTGAAAACAAAATACCTTCAGCATCACAGGAAGCGACATCGGATGGCCAGTCACAAGCTGCCTTGTTCACGTTGAAGGCTAGGCCCATGGGGCACTCCTCCTCGAAGGCAACGCCGGCAACGCAGCGGCGGTACTTGCCGCAGTCGGTGCTGGTGGCATACGGGGACTCGAAGAGGCCGTACTCGTGAGGGCAATCCGCCGTCGATCTAGGTGCCTCTGTGAGTTTATAAAGTTAGTATCAAATTAATGTGATTAAAAGAACTTTGGCTATTCTAATAAATTTGGGTTCATTTTGATGTTCTCTGATGTAGTCTAGTTGAGCTTCGCTTCAATGCGCTTGATAAGACTGTAAAAGTTGTACTGTAAAATAAAATTAGTGTGGGACTATTTTAATAAGAAAGAGACTTACGAGGCACGCCGTCGGTGCACTGGACATCGCCGGGATATCCGCAAGGATATTGCGGCCACGGCGCGTCCGGATTGAAATACATGCCATCTGGGCAGGTCCTTTCGAATTCTGCTGATTCCTTAAAAAAGAAAAAGACACATAATTATGATATTGGACTAATCATGATAGTTTACGCCATTCCACAAGTAAAAAGGATATTAATGAATACTTACAATACATTCGTAATATTTGTCGCAGCTGCCGGACATTTTTACGTATTCATTTCTATCGCCATAGCAGTAGCCGCTGTTACCTGATTACAAGAACATATCATTTATTTTATTATAAGGAGGTTACTGTTAAGAGAAGAAATATAATAAAGTATATGTTGTAGGGGTATATCTTACTAACATTATAAAAGCGTTTAGATGTTGTGGTAAAAGAATTTTTAAACAACTCGGTTCAGAGTTATCACTTGGTACCGAATTATTGTTTAAGTATTAGCAACCGAAGAACATTTAATGAGCTTTAAGTGAAATTTTACTTAGATACTTTCAGATTAGAATCAAGACAAGTTAGTACTCACCTGACACGGTCGCGATCAACGCTGCGATGCAAACAAAGATGTACATCTTGTCGAATTGTTGTTGATTGCTGGAGTTGAGAGCTGCAGTTGTTGAGTGATGTCCATGCCTAGATTGTCTGATATTTTATATGAAAGTAAGTCGTTAAAAAATCATTTACAAGTTAATTTAAATCAGATAACGTTGATAACATTTTTTTACCTTTAATTGTACTGTACGACAATTACAATTTCGGTAATGTACTTAATTAATTTAACCACAGTTGTTTCAAGTTATATAACGACTAGCAGGTTAAAAAGTCAAATGAGGCGGCGACCTTTCGAAATTCATTTTAAAATTATCTACGATGTCTCACCAAAATATAATCTAAAATTGAAGATATGTTTTTTTTTTGAACCCTTGAGGGGGACCTTATAGCACCTCAGAAACCCTGTTACCTAGGATAATATTATCATTAATGTGTATAATGTAAGCACACATTATCAAGTTGCTATAAAAAACCTTCTTCTATCATATATAATTTATCATATCATATGTTTGTTAGAGTTGTTGTTGATGTTTGTTAAAGTTTGTAGCCTAAACGGCTGAAGGGATCTCGATGAAATTTGGCATAGATGTAGAGGATAGTTTGGAAGAACACATAGGCTACAACAATTCCACGCGGATGGAGTCACGGGCGAAATCTATCTATACTATTATAATAAAGCGTAAACACACACTTCTTTGTTGCCTAAGATGTCAGCAATCACAGCATATCTTTGAATAATTCTTTTTTTATTAAAAAGCCTTAAACTTACGTCATGCTTTAGGCTATATATTTTCATGCCATTAAATTTAGGGGGTAAATATTTTAGATAAAAACCTTAATGTGGGAAAGAGACCATAAGTTGCTGCCAACGTCAAGGAAGCAAGACCGTCAAGGTTTGTCATGTCATGTCATTTTGACATTTGCTGTTCATAATTTGACAAATGTAAACAATTAAATAAAAGTTTCACAATTTCATGCGGATGAAGTCGCTTGGGAATAGCTAGTATATTATAAATGCGAAAGTTACGATGAATGGATAGATGTTTGTTAGCGTTTGTAGCCTAAGCGTCTGAACCGAGAAATGTCCGGTTCCCGAGGGATACGTAGTATTTTGTTATTTATATAGTTCGTATGTTTTCTAATACCACGCGGACGAAGTCGCGGGCAACAGCTAGTATTTCTATAATTCTTTAGTACTACCGTTATATACAACTAATACAAGATTTACCATTAAATACATTAAATACTTTCTTTACCTTTCTTTGTTCATTTTTTTTTTAATTTATTTATTTACTTTTTTCTGGTTGATATTGATAGATAAATTGTATTTTTGGATATATTTACATTTGTTATTGGTTTTACTTTCTTTTACGGAAGTTTTAAAACCGAATAGTAAGTATATTACGAATACCATTATCCGCATGATTCCTTTGAAATCGTGCGTTCTTTTAAGTGCCTTTAGAACAAATCTAAGAGCTAAGAAAACGGTCAGGTTTTGAAAATAATCTGCCAGTTAAGTTCCACAGCATTTTTTAAGGCATTTCAGTGGAAAATGAAGTCGATAAATATTGAAGAGAAATGCTTCCTTAGCTCGCATTTGGTTCGATAATTAATTGATGTTTTTATACTGTTAAATAATCAATGTTTATTAGTTTTTATTAAATCTAAGGAGAAAATGATGTTATAATGATAGTTTACTTTTAAATAAATTTTTAAAGTTGCACTTTTGACTAATTTTGACATATGTAAATATCATCACAACTAAAATTCATTTTCGACATACTCGTAATGCACATGAGGACAAAATTATCACAAATGATCCCTTCTATCGGCGCTTAGTGGAAATACGACGAATTACACTGTACTCGTATATACAGAGTGATTCTTAACGGACGGATTTCAAACTTTTTGGAGGTAGAGAACCTCAATAGCTAGTGTTTGAGTTCAAATTATGTTGCCCGATTTGCTATAGTTTAAACTACTTATTTTTGTGTCGTAAAAATCAGATTATAGACGAACATTAATTGCCAATGCGTCTAAAATAATGTGTTTACAATACTATTTCTCGAATAAACTTAATGATTGGACATTCGCACTATTATTCCTTTTTTTGGAATAACTAAGTGAGAACAAAATAAAAGACATGAACTGAATTTTTTCTTAACGTCATTTATTTTTCTTTCAACCCTGAAAAACTGTAATAATTTTTTTACACGATCCTTATCCTCCAAGTTTTTTCAAAAATACAAATCCAAAAACCCTAAAAAACGTTTGTTTTTCATGTAAAAACAACGATTTAAAATAGTTGAGGGTAACAATCTCTTGTAAATTTCAAACAAAAATAATTCAATTTAATTTATCAAAGATGTCTAAAAAGTAAATAAAAATAATAACTTATTAATTAAAACAATACGTATTACATTAAGAAATGCGATGTATTATTTTCTCTAAAAATGCTGAAAATATCATCCATCATAATTATGCTCTAGCGTATGTAGTGTAGATATACTAGTATATATCAAATTTAAATTTTACATTAAAAATAAATGAAAAGCCTCAATTTCACTTATGTTTTATTTATATAACATTTAATGAAAATAAATTAAAAGCATAGTTTTCGTTTTCTTACTACCGCATTACTGTAACCATGGCGCAAGCAACTGTGCCGAAGTATCGGCAGCTCGAACAACACAATCGTGGTAAGAAACCTGTGCCTCACGAGAGTTATATTTTCTAAGAAAATCCAAAAAAAACATTCAGCATAGATGCATTTTCTGAGTGACTGGTGTGGAGGAAGTTGGAAGAGACTTATCTCGGGAACAGAGAAACAGGTAATAATAAGAAATTAAAAATATGACATTTCACACCAATAATGTATTTAAAAAATGTAATTATCTGAACAAATAAATTATAATGATTATTAACTTTGAAAAATGTCAAACTATAGTTTAACAGATATCGTTGTTACAGATGTGTGGTCTCTCTTGGCGCAGCTCGCATTGGAAGTCAGTTCTGACGAGGTCAGAGTTGACGCAGCGGTTGACGGAGGTGTCGAACTTGAAGCCAAGGTCACAGCTCACCAGGCGAGGGTTGCCTCTGTGACAAGCGATGAACGAGTAGCACTTGCCCGGCAGCCTGTAAGTAACATGTTGTTGAAAATCTTGCTCGAAGGACCAAAGAATCACCGATATTAAATATCTTGGTTTTTAGTTTAAGTTTAGGTTATTTGATAACTCAATTTCATGTAGAATATTTTTTTAAGGGAAGTAAAGTAAGAACGTAGTAAGAGATATGTGAAGTACGTACGGGAAGTTTTCAGTGATGTCGCATCCATTCTCATCGACGGATCCAGGCGGGCAAGAGAAGCCGACGAAAGCTGAGAAAAAAAAATAGGACAATGCTTTACACAAATAACATTCAACTCAATTCAGTAGCTTTATTAGTTAGTATTCAGAAAAGATGTTAATTCTTTTTCTTTAATTTATCTTTGTCAACTTCTGTGTCGAAATACTACTGTATTATGGCTACACGTTGTGAAAACAAAATACCTTCAGCATCACAGGAAGCGACATCAGATGGCCAGTCACAAGCTGCCTTGTTCACGTTGAAGGCTAGGCCCATGGGGCACTCCTCCTCGAAGGCAACACCGGCAACGCAGCGGCGGTACCTGCCGCAATCCGTGCTGGTGGCATACGGGGACTCGAAGAGGCCGTACTCGTGAGGGCAATCCGCCGTCGATCTAGCTGCCTCTGTGAGTTTATAAAGTTAGTATCAGAATATTGTGATTAAAAGAACTTTGGCTATTCTAATAAATTTGAGTTCATTGTGATGTTCTCAGATGTAGTTCGTTTAAGGTTCGTTTCAATTCGCTTGATGAGACTGTTAAAGTTTTAAAGTAAAATAAGTTTAGCGTGAGACTATTTTAATAAGAGACTTACGAGGCACGCCGTCGGTGCACTGAACATCGCCGGGATATCCGCAAGGATATTGCGGCCACGGCGCGTCCGGATTGAAATACATGCCATCTGGGCAGGTCCTTTCGAATTCCGCTGATTCCTTAAAAGAAAAAAAGGTACATAATTGTGATATGGGACTAATCTTGATAGATCGACTAGTAAAAATATAATATATGAATACTTACAATACATTCGTAATATTTGTCGCAGCTGCCGGACATTTTTACGTATTCATTTTTATTGCCGTAGCAGTATCCGCTGTTACCTGATTACAAGAACATATCGTTTATTTTATCATAAGGATATTAATATTAAGCACACAACAAAGTACTTGTTAAGGAAAGGAATCTTATTAATGTTTTAATTGCTAATGTTTAGATCGATGGATAGATGTTTGTCACAGTTTGTGGCCTAAACTACTGAACTGATGATATTTAGCATAGATGTAGAAAATAACCTGGAAGATATTTTTGCCCCCGGAAATATTTACGGTTCCCGTGGGGTAAGTTAATTCTGTTTAAATATCTTCTTGATAATTCTGCAATGGTTCAGCATAACTTATTGATATTTGGCACAGATATAACACAAAGTCTGGAGTAACATATGGCATAAGGACCATCCCCGAAAAACATCAGGTATATTGTTTTCATAAGCTTTTTTAATACTGCGCAGACGAAGTCGCGGGCAACCACGAATGATAAATTAAATTGCCCGTATACTATCATCAAAATGTTCTTAAACGGCGTCGATACTTAAAAGACTTTTTTTAAAAACAACTTGGTTCTGATTTATTCATTTGGTACCGAATTATTGTTTAAATGTTAGCAACCAAAGACATTACAGAGCTTTAAGTGAAATATAATACTTTCAGATTAGAATCATGACTAGTTAGTACTCACCTGACACGGTCGCGATCAGCGCTGCGATGCAAACAAAGATGTACATCTTGTCGAATTGTTGTTGATTGCTGGAGTTGAGAGATGCTGTTGTTGAGTGATGTCCATGCCTAGATTGTCTGATATTTTATATGAAAATAAGTCGTTAAAACTTAATATCCAAGTTAATTTAAATCAGATAACGTTGATAACAATTTATTTTATCTTCAATTGTACCGTACATCAATCGTAATATTGAAAATGTAATTAATTTTTGTAACCACTTTTTTCTCAAGTTACAAAACGTAAGTAAGAGCTAACAGACGTCTTATCTTATCTAGTAATGTTAAATTCAATTGTTCCGCATATTCTATGGTTTTTCATTTGATAATAGTCTTCGCCTGGCAATAAACAGTACAAAAGAATTTGTAAATTGGGTCAACCGTTCACGCATAATATCGTGTAAAATAGGAATTCAATTTTATATTTCTAGACACAAAAAAATATATCGACCACCCCGTGCACTTTACATATCTTTTCCTAAGGATTTAAACTAAAGAGGATTGATGTTTCTTACGTAAGGTTTTAAAAAGATTTGCATAGACCAAGCTTTCCATTTCTGCAAATTTTATAAGAACTCGTAAAATGACTTAGTTTTTTTTTATACAAAAAGGTGGCAAACGAGCAATCGGACACCTAAATCCGCCAAAATGGCGAAGCGGCCGCTGCCCATAGACATCAGCAATTGTAGATGCGTTGCCTACCCTAAATCGACGAAAGAGGAGAAGCACGTCAAGAGGATATTTCCTCATCCTATGCGTCTCCTCCACCGTCAATTCCACTTTCACATCCATCCTTCTTTTAAAGAAAAAGGTGGGACGGGAAAGGGACTAAAATTGGCACCACACTTATCAGACGAAACGCGGAATTGCTCCCACTTCACGCCTGTCTTCTGTGTGGTCGTGATATTGCACCGGGCGAGCCGACACATTCGTGCGAAGATGTTAAAGCTAGCTCTACCACTGTCAAATTAGTAGTCCTGTACTTGCATGTATGTAAATATATATTTGGTACAAGGACACAAACACTCAAACAGTTAACCACATGTACATTTTTTTGGATTAAATTAATATATCACATATGATAAAAATGGTACCAAGACAAACTTAAATCAATTTAGATTATAGTGAGTACTTATTTTTATGCAATCTATTTGTTTATGGTGCATATAAGGATGGTTATATTCACTATTTTACGATAGTTTCCCTTAAGAAGATAGTTAAAGCATACTCTTACTATGTTTCTTGTTTATTTAGTCTCAAGTTTTTTCAATACAAAACATTTTCTTTTCTTTATAATTTCACAGTATTGGAATTGCATAATTTTATTTCTTAATGTCGTTTGCGAATTAACCCACTAATGAAGTAAGGAGCATTAATAACCAGTTCAGTAATTATTGTCTAGGAATTTAAAATGTAATTCATCGCATTTGTACTATTTGTATAAAAAGGTTACAACTACAATACATCGACACTTTCAATTTGCATTTCCTTTGAAAACAATCACTAAAAATGCGTTCCTTCATTTGTTTTGCCGCTTTTTTGGCGTTGGCCTGTAAGTACCTACTTATGTTTTAATGTTATGTCCTTAACTGAAATTAAAAATGATAATAATGTTGATTTTAAATTTCAGCCGCTGCAGGGGTAGTGCCAAGTGGTGCGGTGGGCGATGACGTGTGCAAGGAGTACAACGGATACTACAAGGTTAAGGGCAGCTG